CATACAAACAGACATTCAGCTTTATATATAAGATTTGGGAAGTTGACTTTTACATACGTTCTGAAAGATTCTCTTTCTCACTTCTGCATAATGCAATCCATGTAGACACAAAGAATTGAAGGCATCACACATATTGTATATCACTTCCAAAACCTGCTTTTTCAGCGTTTACACCACAATAGGTTACGGGAATATGGCTGCCGACACGACTCAGTGCCGAGTGGCTACTATCATTTACGGGGCATTTGGTAAGCAACTTTGCCTATTTTAAAACTCAGAATTTTAGCAGGCTATTTCCAGGTATACCGTTATTTTTTGCGTTTGTAAAGGAAGAGGGTAACCTTTTTCGAAATGTGTTCATATCTATCTATAATCGTATTACTGAATGGCGACGGAAGCACTGTAGATGCCATCATAGAGGTAAGTTATTTGCTTTTTTGCGAATTTAGTTTTACCTCCGTGTATGTGTACAATAAGGGTAGCTGTTCTTACTGCAATGTACTTCGATCCTCAGCTTCATGATTTCTTTTTTTTATTGAGAATATTATACTTATGGATATATTAGACTTTTTGAAAAGCTGTTTCTATCTTCTGCTTGACGTTAACTGAAAGACGCTTTTAGCTCACAAAAACAAAAGGGAAACATCTTTTAGAATATCTTAAAAATATGTACATGTCTCAACACATATAGTTCTTGTAGAAAAGAAAGCAACTGTGTAGCTAAAATAACAGTTTAATAATTGAAACTCTATCTCATTATATTTTTCGTTTAGGGACGGAGAACAACAATGAAAACCTATCCACGACTCCAGTCAGCAAGGAAAATGGTCAGTTATCTTTCCAATTCTGTGATAATTGGATCTTTTGAAATTTTGATATATTTCGCACAGCGTCAGTCCTAGCTTTTAATTAGATAGCGATGTCAAACTAGGATGTCTGACTTGTGTTAGAGGTATCGAAAAATCATAAAGCATTCAATTGAAATTCAATTTTGCGGTTTTGCAGTAAGCGCAACGCAACGAAGTACATCCTAAACTAGTTGAGCAGGAGTTTTTTTTTTCGATTCGTATTTCAAACACTCTGTAATTCGGAGAGATGCAACGCTATTGGAAATGGATAAAATCGTTTTGGTTTGCAGGAGTGTGTGGTGCTATAATATGACATTAAAGACTTTGATTGAAATGTGATATTGATAAAATAGGGTTATCATTAGTTCTTTTTTATATCTTAAGTGCGCAATAGTCCATTCTTTCTTCCAGGTACTGTCAATAACAACAATGTGCCACACAAGCCACTCTTGGATGAAGATGTTCAAACGAAGAAGGCTCGATTTGCGCGTAAATACAGCACTGCCTCTTTACTAGGTAGGTTTAAATAAAAAATCTTTGAAACTAAGTGGCTTGACTCAACTCTGAGTGTGAAGCAAAACATGTAAAGATTGACCCAAATGCAAGCTCCATGACAAATAATTAATTCATTGAAGTTCGAGAATGTTGTGTTTGTGAAGTTCAAATATTAAGTAGTCGCAGTCCCACTCACTTTCTTGTAAAATCAAAGCAAAGAAGCTAAAATATTCTCTGATTTTTTTAAACTATCTGTGCCTGTTTTCATAATTTTTAGGAAGCTCAGAAAGGAATTAGTTTGCTTTGAACTTGTTGTAGTATGGCTTCACGTGCTCAAGTGTAACATATACTTGTAACATAACATATTTGTTCTATGAACAAAAATCTAATCTTATTTTTCAGTATTGTTCATGAACCATCTGCGTCTCCACCTTGTGCATAACTAACGCGCATTCTTCTCATTTTATCCATCTTAAGACACCTATAAAAATGCCTAATCATGCGAACACCAAAAAAACCTACGAGTACGTAGCTGATACTTTCGTTGATTACTTTGATGGACTTTTTTTGGCATTATGGATAATCTATGAAAAGTAATATTTTATGAATAACC